TGCCGGCCCCGACACAAAGCGGGGGGAGCGGCGGGGGCGGGAAAGCGGCTCCAGGCGCCCGGGTGCTGGGGAAGCGGCCGCTGTTACCTGCACAGATCGTCCAGGACGCTGCTGGGAATCTCGGCCCGTTTGCTCTCCATGGGGAAACGCGGCTCATCCCGACGCCACAGGGCCCGAGCAGCGCAGGGGGGCGGGGAGGCCTAGCACACGAACCCACCGAGCGAGGGGGCGGGACCAATCGCTTCCGTCCCGCTCCCGCTAGGGTTGGGGGGGCGGGCCCTACCGTGGAACAGGCCAACCAGAGCTCGCAAGTGAGCGTCGCCAGCTTCCCTTCAAACGTCACCTCCCGTCAAGCCAATCATCGGCGGCGTTAATGTGAGCAGTTCACCAATCGTCGGTGGGATTCTGTAGAAAGGCCGGAGTAAACGCTGAGCATGCGCACTTTCAAACGCCTCGGCGTGAGGAAGGTTTGTGTCGCTCTAGTTTCTCGCGGGGTAGGAGATGCGAGGTCCCTCCACGGGCCCCGCCCCCTTGCTCCTAGCGCTCGAGATCGCTGCGCGTGCCCGCCCCCCGCCCGCACTCGGCCTTCCCACGGGCCACGCCCGGGCGCGGTCAGGACAGGACTCAGCTGAGGGGTGGAGCAGAGGAATGTTTTAACATAATCTCCCCATGCACGCACGTGTGGTGCCTCTGGCTCCCCTGCCTGGCCATGATGACCCACAGGAAAAGAAACAAAGACTCCCTAAAATATTGCCCCAAGGCATTACACCTGCTGTCATTGCAGTGCTGAGACACTGAGGCTGGGTCTACAGTCTGGGTGCGTCTAGACTGGCAAGATTTTGTGCAAAAACTTGCCACCTGTCTACACTGGCTGTGAGAATTTACGCAAGAGTACTGACGTTCTAATGTAAGAATTCAGTGCTTGCGCAAATACTTTGACGTGCCTGCTCAGGAATAAGCCCTCTTGTGCAAGAGGGCCAGTGTAGACAGGCATCTTAATTTTTTGCGCAAGAAAGCCCGATGGCTAAAATGACCATTGGAGCTTTCTTGCGCAAAAGCACATCTATACTGGGCATGGATGCTTTTGTGCAAAAGCATCTGTACCAATCTAGACGCTTTTTTGCAGAAATAAGTATTTCCGCAAAATCATGCGAGTCTAGAGGCAGCCCCTATGTCTACAGTGGCGGGTTATTGCGCAAGAAGGGCCTTTCTTCTGCAAAGCATCCACACTGCCTACCCACTCTTGTGCAAGAAGATTTACAGTAAAGCATGGTAGGAGAGGGCTTCTTGCGCAAGAGCTATGCTCTTTTCTAACAGGTGTAAGCTCTCTTACGCAAGAGGGCAGTGTGGATGGCGGCAAGGATTTCTTGTGCAAGAAAGCCCTATGGCTAAAATGGCCATCAGAGCTTTCTTGCGCTAGAGAGCGTCCACGCTGCCATGGATGCTCTTACGCAAAAGCACATCTCGCACATGGCCGTGTAGACGTGTTTTTGCACAAGAGTTCTTGCGCAAGAAGCCGCAAGTGTAGACATAGCCTGAGAGAACCAAAACCAGGGTAGGGCAGCAGGCAGGACTTAATTTCTGTCTGCACCACTAGTAGCCCGGTCTCTCTCATCAAGTACTTCCTTCAGAGAGAGCTCAGGGTTCCTACACATGACGCTAGTCATACTATAATACCCCCTTCTGGGACCTCTGCATCCCTTGTCAGTCCAGAACACAAATTCAATGCTGCGGATATCTGCAGATACCAATTTTGTATTACAGGGCTCTATACTGATTGTGCTCCTTTAAAAATATATGGCTATGTCTACACTGCAGGAATGGTTGTTCTTGTGCAAAAACTTGCGGAGTGTCTACACTGCACGCGCATTCTTATGCAAGTAAATTTACTGTACAGCATCAGAAAACAGGGCTTCTTCCAGAAGAGTTATTCCTCTTTCCACGAGGAATAAGACCTCTTGCGCAAGAGCTCTTCCACAAGAAGGCAGTGTAGACAGGCAACATGAATATTTTGCACAAGAAACCCTTATGGCTAAAATGGCAATCAAAGCTTTCTTGTGCAAGAGAGTGTCCACACTGCCATGAACACTTGCGCAAAAGCATATCTCTTGTGCAAAAGCACATGGCAGTGTGGATGCTCTCTTGTGGAAGACCTTTTGCATAAGGACTCTTGCGCAAAAGTGGGTTTTACCCATACAAGCTTAGGCCGGAATAAATGTTACTCTTTACGTGATTTTTTAAAACCAGGAATCCTTTGGCACCTTTTAATTTACTTGGTAACAACAGTGTTTTCCTCCAGCCTTAAGAAGACAGATCTTTCACAATTCTCTTGTACCTTCCTGGGGTTTGATGTTGTTGGAGCAAGTTCAAATCTTTATGATAGCAGCATTTGGTTCTCTTAACCCTGTGGCATTTTGACACTTCACTCCTACCATGACAGCAACCATCATGTATCTTGACATCAAGTTTTCTACAAGGCTGGATAATGCCTGTTTTGGAAGTGTTTCTTCTATTCAAGATGGCTTTCTATGTATATTTTCTTTGCGTATTGCAGCTGCCTTTAATAAGACGTAGCCATTTTAAAAAACAATTTAATGCAACCAACTTACTATGGAATATGATTCTAAATCCTTGTTCTCAGCTCCCTGCATGTAAACTAGGTTTCACTGTTAAAAATGACACAGTTTGGGATACTGTGCCTGCTGAAATACTTCCTTGACAGTCACTGCAGTAGTATCTAACAGTTTGCCTAATTTCCCGAAGTTTGACTAGAAGTCTACAACAAGGTAGTTTTTGTGCTTTGTATAGTAAAGGAACATTTGCTCTAGAGACTGTTGAGAATGTTTTGTATTTTCACTCTTTTTTACTACTTGGCCTGTATTCCCCCCAAGGTGTTGAAAATCCTTGGTGATGTTTGGCTAGCACACATCATCTCTTGCTTTCCAGGTAAACACTTCTACTCCAACCTGCTTCTGAAGTATTTGTTAGAGAATTTCTATTAAGTGATCTGGAAATTATGTATCAACTGCCTTTACATACAATGCTATCTTATATGTTCAGACTGCCTCAATAATTCCAGTATTCTTGAGAAGCTGGTGGGGCTTCTCCTCTAGAGTCTAGCCATGGTGACAGAACTATTTGACTTTGTAGCACATCCTGAAAATGCTGTTCTGTTTCTCCACACTGCATTCCTCTGTCTACTGTGAGGAATTCTTACTTAGCTGCTAGGAATCCACTAGTACAACATACATCTAGCTTTTGAATTACCTTTGCTCAGCCTCTCTAGACCACCCATAGGATTCACCTTGAGGAAAAACATTTGATACTTCATTTGCTGTCTTTAAAATAAATATTACACTTCTAATGATTTATTTGTTACTTAAGTTTCAAAATATTTATGGTAAAGAAAACGAAGTTCTGTCCAACTTATGCTACAGATTCAATAAATGTTTAATCCTGGCATTTTAATTAATTGTGAAAATGGAAATATGTATATAATAAATGTAGTCAGGAAAACAAAAACGTTTCAATGCCAAAAGTTCTAAGTCACACAAAACAATTTTTACAACTGCAGCCAATAGAGGGTGTCCATTGCACTTTTTTTAAAAAAACTGTTTACAGATTTTACAAAACAAAACAGGCCACAGTCATGCTTCAATAGCAGGAGTGGGCCCGTAATCATGATCCCCTTGATTTAGAGTAAAAGCCCCTCTCAGCCTGCTTTCTCGGGATTTCTTTTTCAACATTCCGAAGAACTGTGGATTTTCTGTTTGATCTCAAAGCAGCTTGGATAGGTGTGTCTACTTTAATGTTTGCCTGATCTCCCTCAGAGCCCCTACACATCCAAAGCTCATCTGACTATCTCTGAAAAGTTCAAGATTTCTGGCTTTACAAGCTTGTCTTTATTTTAAATGCTATAGCTATGCTGCTGTAGTGCTTCTTTGAAGACACACCCTGCACTAATGGGAGGGATTCTCCCATCATTGAATGTACTCCTTACTGGGATTAGGTAAATTTAGCTTTTTGCTTCCAGGGCATGGCTTGATCACACCCCTGACAACAAAATGTACAGCTACACTGTGTTGTTGTTTTTTTGAAGAAGGTATACAAATTGCACTTGAATTTCCATATCTTCTTCCAATTCTTTTTCTGGAAGAGGCTTTTCCAATATTTGGCCCATCTACACGGGGCCAAATATCGGAAAAAACCCTCTTTCGGAAGCCCCTGTACACCTAACTTTACGAGGAATATGGGGGCTTCCGAAAGGGTGGGGTTTTTTCCGACATTTGGCCCCATGTAGATGGGCCAAATAGCGGGAAAGTCTCTTCCGGAAAAAGAATCGGAAGATGATATCCAAATGTGAGCGTAATTTTCATACCTTCAGAAAAAAAAAACCACAGTGTAGCCGTACCCATACTTAATATTGGCCTAATTTCCTTGTGTAGACAAAGATGTTTGAAGAATTGCCTTTTAGATGAAGAGAGACTGGGTTTACAAAGCCTATAGTAGTGTTGTGATGGGGACAGTTACATTGGACTAACACCTCAACTCATTTCACAGAGCCCTCCAAATAGCCTTCAGATGGTCATAATCTTCTCAGACTACTAAAATAAAATGAATTGGCAGTTAAAATAAGATTTAAAAAAATAGATCAGCACAACCCACATACAAGTCCCTTCCCAAGCTCGCACCAGTGTTTGCTCAATGCATGGTTCACAGGCTCTGGGATTTTTCAAACACTTTTCACTGCCACAATATGATCTATTCATACCTTCACTTGAGAGGGGTGGAGCTCAAGTAAGGTGTGGGAGTAGTGTTTCCCTGCTAAGTGCAGAGAGTTGTCCTTGCCCAGCTTGCACATAATTTAAAATGCTTCATTCTCAGGGACACATACTCCTGCTCCAAGGGGAGGAGCAGAGATGAAGAGGAGACAAGCCCACCATCTTTTCTGAGGGGATGAAGGGAAAAAGAAGCAGCTTTTATAACTCTATCTAATAAGTGTTATGGGTAGGACCCTCCACAATTCATGATCCATTTTGATCAATTTCATAGTCATAGTTTTGTGCATCATCAAGTTCATGATTTCAACTATTTAAATCTGAATTTTCACAGTAGTGTAAATATAGGGGTTCTGACTGAAAGGAGAGTATTGGAAAGATTGTGGCACTACTGCTTGCAACTGAGCTATCTTCAATTTTGGGCACCTGGAGAGCACTAGCTGCAAGTCCAGTGCCAAAGGCAGTGCAACTGCCAGGAGCAGC